TCTCTCTCTCTCTTTCTTTCTCTCTCTTTCTTTCTTTCTCTTTCTCTCTCTCTCTCTCTTTCTCTCTCTCTTTCTCTCTCTCTCTTTCTTTCTCTTTCTCTCTCTCTCTCTCTCTTTATTTTCTCTTTCTTTTCTCTCTCTTTCTCTCTTTCTGCCTCTCTCTTTCTCTGTTTCTCTCTCTTTCTTCCTTCCTTTCCATCTCTTTTTTCTCTCTCTTTCTCTCTCTCATTCTTTCTTTCTTTCTCTCTTTCTCTCTCTTTTTACTCTTTCTCTCTTTCTCTCTTTCTTTCTCTTTCTCTCGCTTTCTCTCTTTCTCTTTCTCTCTTTCTTTCTCCCTTTCTCTTTCTTTCTCTTTCTCTCTTTCTCTCTCTCTCTTTCTCTCTCTCTTTCCTCTCTCTCTTTCCTCTCTCTTTCTCTTTTTCTGTCTCTCTTTCTTTCTCTTTCTCGCTTTCTCTCTCTCTCCCTTTCTCTTTCTTTCTCTCTCTTTTTCTCTCTTTCTCTCTCTCTTTCTCTTTTTCTCTCTTTCTCTCTCTCTCTCTTTCTCTTTCTCTCCTTCCTTTCTCTTTCTCTTTCTCTCTTTTTTCTCTCTCGCTCTTTTTCTTTCTGTCTTTCTCTCTCTTTTCTCTCTCTCTCTTTCTCTTTCTTTTTCTCTTTCTCTCTCTTTCTCTTTCTCTTTCTTTCTTCCTTTCTCTCTTTTCTCTCTCTCTCTCTTTCTTTCTCTTTCTCTCTCTCTTTTCTCTCCCTCTTTCTCTCTTTCTTTCTCTTTCTCTCTCTTTCTTTCTTTCTCTCTTTCTCTTTCTTTCTCTCTCTCTCTCTCTCTTTCTCTTTCTTTCTCTTTCTCTTTCTTTCTCTTTCTCTTTCTTTCTCTCTTTCTCTTTTTTCTCTCTTTCTCTCTTTCTTTCTCTCTCTCTTTCCTCTCTCTCTTTCCCTCTCTCTTTCTCTTTCTCTCTTTCTTTCTCTTTCTCTCTTTCTTTCTTTCTCTCTCTTTCTCTCTCTCTCTCTTTCTCTATGTGTGTGGGTGGGGTGTGTGTGTGTGGAGTGTCTGTGAGTCCCGGTGAGTGGGTAACCGTGGGTGGGTGAAAACCAGCTAGAGAGCTACCTACACAAGATGAAGTGGAGGAATGGTTTTGTTGAGGGAAGGGGCGGAGGAAAGGAGGGAATGGATTGCCAGCCTGCCTGCCTGCCTACCTTCCCTTTGGGTTGCCATAGCAACCGCCCCCCATCCCGTTTGCAACCCGAGCCGAGAGGAGAGGGCTTTAGGTGGGAAGGGAAGGAGCTTAGCAACCGGATTAGGGCAGCGGGATCTGCGCTTGAAACTCTGGGCGGCCACTAGGTGGCAGCAGAGAGACCCGGAAATCTTCAGAGAAAGTGTTTTTTTTGTTTTTTTTTCCCCTGTGTAGCTCGAATTCCCCTTTGTTACAAACCGGATTGACTTTGAATTAAAGCCTGAATCTGTGTTTGTTTGTTTTTTTAAATTATTAAGCAGTAAGACTCGACTCCTTAACAATTACTGTTAAATCATTTGCCTGGCCCCGGATTTTTTCCCTTCCACTGAGGAGAGGAGGCCCTAAGTCCCCTGGATATATTGCTTCTACATATAAAAGCAGTTAAAAGCAATTTAAAGGGGTTTTTAAAAACGCATTAAAATGTCTAATTTGAGCACCTACAAATTAAGATTAGTACTTCTGCTGTTTCTGTGACATGGGTCTAACTTTCGGGGCTGCCACCATACTTATTATCTTTATTATGGAAACTATTACTGATTATTTTAAATAAATTTTATTAATCAAACAAAAATGAAAAAACATTTAAAAACAATGAATGTGATGCATACATCCCAACACACCTGCTTATCTTATATCACCAAATGACAAATATAAAGAATACAAATTTACATATATATATATAAACTTCTCATCACTCCTATCATCCATCCCCTCCCACCTGTGACTGTATGACTGTAACTTCGTCGCTTTTATCCTTACGATTTATATTGACTGTTTCCTAGTATGATTTGATTGCTTCTTGTACCCTCTGACTATCATTAAGTGTTGCACCTGATGATTCTTGACTCTTGACGAATGTATCTTTTCTTTTATGGACACTGAGAGTATTTACACCAAGATAAATTCCTTGTGTGTCCAATCACACTTGGCCAATAAAGAATTCTATCTATTCTAAAGTGTCCATTCCTGCAAACAAATGTTTTGTTTGACAAATGTTTATGGAAATTCTCTGTCATCCAGGCCATGGTTGTCCCAAAGGTGCTTTTTTCAATGGTCTGGACTTTCTTTGTTTTTCTTTTGTAGGAAGTTACCACCCACCCCTCTCCTAGAAAAATGAAATATCCTAGGAAATATTTAAAAGGCAGAATATTTCCCCTGAAAAGTGGAAACTCAGAAGCAGAAGCTCACCCTCACCTTTGTTAATGGGTGGGCCATTAATAAGGCCTGGGCCAGAGTATTCTACATAACAAAGGCCTCTACCCATCTCACCTGGAAAGATTGCATCAGCCAGCACTCAGGTGAAGCCATGTGGTCCAGACAAAGCCTACAAAGTTAGCTAAGACCCTCCCACCCCTGGGAGTCTGACAGCCAATGGGATACATTTCTTGCACAGGAACAGGAAACACTAAGGTGGGGCCCAACAGAGGGTATAAAACTTCCAGCATCTTGCTCCTTCTTCTCCTTCACCCAACTTCTTGAAGTATGTGATCGTCCTTTTCACTCTGTAGCTCCAAGGCATGGGATCCTGTCCACCATTAAACCATCTTTCCAAACAGCCTCCATGTTTCCAGTGTCTTTTTCCCCACTTGGAACTGAACCCAGAAGGATATTTCTTCCAACACTTTGAAGACCTTTCGCTTCTCATCCAAGAAGCTTCTTCAGCTCCAGTTGAAGCAGCTTCTTGGATGAGAAACAAAATGCCTTCAACGAAAAACCAGAAAGTCCAGTTGCCTCTTGAAAAAAAAGCACCTGAGGGTTTTGACAAAACAGTTGGGTTTGATGAAAGATAAAATCAAGGAGCGTGATACACCTTAGTATGCTCTGGGAACCCAGAGTCTTTCAACAGCTTTCCTTGTGCGCTTCCAAGTGATCGCTTAGACAACACTGCAAATGAGAACTGAAAATAAATAAATAAGATTCAAAAACCACCAAATTTTGGAAGTCCTGCGAGATTGGGTGTCTGACAATGAGAAGTCAGCCTTTCAGTGAAAGAAGAAACACCTGGGCATACAATTCATTCAGATTTTTTCTTTCTTTCTTTCTTTTCTTCTTCCCGGACACTCATCCTTGCAGGCTTCCATCTAAAAACTAGGGCAGGCTTCAGTTACCGCTTGAATTAGATACTCCCCGTGGGGCAGTTATTCTTTGAATGTGGAAATTGAATTTTATTTCTGTCAGATCTATTTCAGGTGCAGTGATCTCCCTCTGCTGGCCTGGAAAAAAAATATGTTTTGGGGTGTGTTAAAAGTAACAAAAGCAAATGGAGGCTGGAGGACAGAAACCCTCATAAGAATCAAGGTTGATTACTTGGGTTATTCGCAAGCAAAGATCGGGAAACAGAGCCTGTCTCTGTCTGGAATTTGGAAAGTACGGTATTTCTGTCTTTAAATTTTGTACAAGTTTTAGGGCTGGAGGATTCAGAAAGTGGTAGGCCAAAAAGTTTAGGAAAATCTTTTAAAAAGTAAAAACAACTGATGCAACAATACAGTTTTCCAGCAAGAAAATAGAAGTCACCCAGCAAGAAAATAGAAGTCACAGGAGTGTTATAAGGAAAAAAGAAGCCTTTTGCTTTAAGGAAAAGACAGCTTTTTCCCTTTGTGAATTCAAATTTCCCGGCTGGGAGATTTACTGCAAAATGATTGGAGGTCAGCTTCATTGGAAGCCAGAATCAGTTTATTAATAGGAAGGCAGGTAAAAAGAGATCATATGAGACTAGTCTGCTTCTTGGTAACTTACTTTTTATACCCTTCAGGTCCCTTTTTGATTTGTACGCGGATCCTTTAATGTCTTTTGATTAGTATGTGTGTGATGGGTTTTTTTTAAAATGGCATTTAAATCCTATCTCTTTGAGATTGGGATTTTCTGTCCTGGGATCTGGGTAGAAGGCAAATAAGTCATTGTTTTATAGTCCAATCTGTTTTTTTTTCCTGGCCTTTTGTAGATAATTAATCAGTTTGCCTTTTGTTGCAATATCCCGAGCTTTCTGTTATGCCTTTTGGTTTGCGATCATGGTTTAAATCTTTTTCTTCCTCCCATGCTTTTTTTTGTTACTGGGTTTTGGTGGGTATCTCCTTTTCTCACGTGTCTGAGGTTCTTGATTTCTTTTCCTTTGGGTGTTTTTGCTTGTGCTGTTTTTCACAAGTTCTATAGTTTGCCATCTATTTTGTTTCTATGGGAAAGGATCTTAGCTAATTTGTAGGCTTTTTCCCTGTATCCCATGCGTGTAATTTTTATCCTTCCTTTGCTGCGGAGAACAGGCCGGCTTCAGCTATTTTAATGGCCCTATTGACAAGGGGGGGGGGGGGCTGAATCCCTGCTTGAGTTTTCACTTCTCCTATCTTTGGGGAGAATTTTCCTGCCCCTTTAATATTTTAAAATTTCTTTTCTTGTCCTACGAGAGGAATGAATCACAACTTTATTTATTTATTTTTATTTTTTTATTTTTTTTATTTTTTATTTATTTGATTTGCCAATTGTTTCCAAGATAATAAGTATAAGTGTATACATAGTTGTGAATACATGAAATGGGTACATATAAGAAAAATAAAAGAATAAGAAAAACAATAGGACAGGGACGGTAGGCACGTTGGTGCGCTTATGCACGCCCCCTACAGACCTCTTAGGAAAGGGGTGAGGTCAATAGTAGACAGTCTAAGGTTAAAGTTTTTGGGGTTTGGGGAAGA